AGTCTAAGTTTACATTCTGGCTACGCCACTTAAAAGCTATATAGCCATTAGCAGCTAGTTAAACTTTCTGTCTCTTGATTTTATTTCTGATAAAATGGGGAGTAATAGTGCCTACCTCAGAGAATTAACAAATCAATATTTTGCATATAGGTTAACACATAGACATTCTCAATAACTGTTATTATAATTAGTAATATTATTGTTATAAAAGGAATGAATAGCAAGAATAATCTGCAGTACCTATGTATACTTTGTAATTAGTATTTCTGTCCCCTAAATATCCTATACTCTTTTGATATCTTTTCCTGAATAAGATGCTCAAAAATATATTTTCAACATATCTCTGTGCCAGAAAACAGGGTTTTGGCCTGAAAACTGCCATAATTTATTGCAGTTGATGGCTTGGATCCTGGTGTATTACTCACTAAACAAAAGCTGTGCCCAGAGGTGCCCAAGTATGGCATACATTTAAGGAATTTATTTTTTATTACTCTTTGAAATTATGGCCCACCTCAAAGTTGCTGTTCACTGCTGGTGAGATTGGATTTCATGTGGGTATTTTTTATGCATTGTATAAACTCAGTTATCTAGCTCCTTTGACTCTGGCACATTCTGATAAGTTAAGAGCAGAAAGTTTTAATGCTGTCATTTTTTGAGCAAGAAAGGTTGACACTCCAGAACCGAAAGATCTCAGACCCAGTCTTTCTATACCCCCGCTCTGCATTTTTGTGCAATAAACACTGTGTTTCTTCTTGGATAGGTCAATAGAACCACCCTTCCAATGGTCTCTCATGGTAAAGGTAAGTAGAGGAGAAAATTATTATGGCATGCTATCAAACTTGAGGACTAGCTAAGGGAAAGGATGAGATTAAATATATACTGAAGCTTTATTCTGCTATTAATCATCTGATGGGACAATCAACTGTTGCACCTCCTCATCTATTCCCATTTATTCTCACCTGACTAGCTGACCACCAACTACACTGCTAGAACTCAGAGGATTTTTATCTGAGTGATTGTTCCTAAGGCAAGGGTGTTATGGTAAATTCTGTTGTAGAAAGGGGCTCAGAATATCAGAGATAAAAGATACTTTATTCTGAGAGAAAGAACTCAAGGCAACATTACAGTCTTCAACTTCTTGCTCAGATAACTGTAAGTCAGTGATTTACTAACCATTCAGATTACCTTGGGGAAATGGTTGGTATTTCAAACTTTGAGGTGTGCAGGTTTCAAAGGGTAAAGCAGACAGATATATTCAAGTGTCTGTTCATTAGAAATCATTTTGGGCTTATTGTACTTTGTGGTAGAAAGAAAATGGGTTTTGTAAAGTATTTCTAAATTTTTAAAGATTTAACTGTTTACTAATAGATAGGGGAATGATGCCTACCAATGCAAGACATTGTAAAGTATATTTAGAAGTGTAAGATGTTGTTATTTTGACTGATTCTAAAATACAAGTGTGTTGGTTTGTTCTTCTGCCCACGCCTCACATCTAGAAGTAGAAGCTGGAAGTAAGCCAGATTTCCTATAATGTGTGTGTGTGTGTGTGTGTGGGGGGGGGAGTTTCAATGAGGAGACCTGAATTTCAGAGTACACATTCAACAAAAATGTTAAGTTTTTCTTTGGAGACTTCATTCACTTGTCATCAATCTTTGAGAACAGTGATCTTTAGATGTGATGAAAAGGAGATATTGGTCACCTTCTATTCAGTCTTTCAAGCAACAAGCCTTAGTTCTCCTCAGATAACTGTCATTGTTCTCTACTTTCTTGAAATTCTTTTCTTCCTTTGTTGAACATGGCATAATACTATTTTGATTGTCAATTCATTATTTCAACCACTCTTCTCTTTGGCTGACTTGTGTTTTGACCTAAGCTGGCAGTAAAAGAAGAGTGAAAATTAAAGTAATTAGAATAAGCAGAAGCAAATACCACCACCACCACCAACAACAACAATAACAAAAAACAATGACCTCAAAATGGATTTTAAATCTAAATGTAAGAGCTTGACGTATAAAACATTTAGGAGAAATAAACTACCCCCAAACCTAGTGGCTTAAAATGATAATAGTTATTTTGTTTATAAAGCAGCAATCTGGGAAGGGCTCTGGGGGAACAACTTTATTCTTCTCAGTATCAGCCAGAGTGACTCAAAGACTGGGAACTAGAGTCATCTGAAAGTCTGCTACTCACACGTCTAGTACCTGAGCTGGGAAGAGTCAGGCAGCTGGGGGCTATAATAGCTGAGGCTCCTCTGGCATCTTTGTCTTTATATGATGTTTGTCCTTAGTCTCACTGGTCTTACCTCTTGGGATAGCTCCTACTACCAGCTGATATTTTAAGATACACTATGTCCTGTTGGTCAATATGCAAAATTCATAAGGTATTATTTCTCCACGGACTGAGCATTCGGGAGACAATTTCACTATTTTATAAGGTTGGCTTCCTTTTTTCATTGTCAAGTGGCTTTCTTGATCAGAAATATCATAGCATGACAAGGAATAAGGCATCCAGTAAGTCCACAGGTGGCTTGGCCAGCAGAAACCTGGCCACAGGGATGGTAACTTTAAACCCAGACAAAATCTACTGTTGAAAGGAAAAATCACTGTATCCTCCATGATGAAAAGTCAAGTGGTTGGATGGCCTCCCTGAGATACGAGACCATAATGGACATTGGTAGAGTAAAATGCCAGCTTTCTTGTCTCACAGATAAGACATACGTGAGACATGCTCCACAATCTCTAACCGAGGTTCCCTAAGAGAGTTAACCTCAGTTGTCCACAGAAATAACCTGCTCACCAATGCAAGCTGTATTCATTTCCTTCTCTTCCATTTTTATCCTTATTCTTTTAATGGTATCTTCTAGAATTACTTCTCAGGTAAATTTCATGCACTCAAATCCCTGTCTCAAGGACTGCTTCTTGGCAGGCTAAGGTAAGTAGCAAGTTCTTATTCATTCATGTATTTTGTTCATTCAGTAGGTGCTGATGTGATCTTTTCATGGTGAATTGGGCCATAGAAGTAGGGTTTCATCCCTTAAGATTTTTTACCTTGTTCCTGCCCTTTATTTAAGATAATTAATACTATTTTTTCATGTTTTGCCATGATTGCAAAAACTTGGAATTTCTGAACTTAAAATATAATAGAACTCGTTCTAGTCCCAAACCCTTCTTTAATCATATGTGGACACCGAGGCCTGAATTATTGGGTTCTGTGGCTAAGCCACAGGGCTAATTCTAATTACATAAGGAGTTGGCCTCCTGGGAGAGCAGGTAGTCTGGGGTCTTTTCCACCATAGTAGAAACAGAAGGTCTCCCAAATGACAGGTACAGGGTCCTGCACAGAAAACTTTGTAGTCTGATTCCATTAAATGGAAATTAGCTTAGTATAGTAAAAAGAGCTTGGAATTTATACTAGACTTGGGTTCAGAAACTGACATGCAGCTGATAAAGAAAGTTCTTGGAAAGTATTCTCAGTCTTTTTGAATTAGTTTCCTTATCTGTAAAATATGGCTATAATACATAGCTATGTTAGAGTCTTGCTCTAAGAAATTAAATGGCATGATTTATGTAAAAATTAAGAACATGATTAATAAACAGAAGTTTTTTTTAAAGAAAAGAATCTTCTGTTAAATTATTTTAAATTATCTTTTTAATGTGATATATTCAGATTTTGTTTTAGTTCCTCTTTATAAATTGAAGCAACAACATGTTGGGTTTATTTGCTTTGTTTTTCTAGTAGGGTTGAAATTAAATTGTTCAGTCATCATTATTACAGAGGAGTCCACTTATTTCCAAAGAACGTTCCTCTTTATTTTTGAGAGCTCAGCAATTTGGTTGTTATAGGCCTCATAATGTCCTCATTACAGATCAGCAGGGTGATGAAGGTCATTTTCAGTGTTCACCATACTCTGTGGATGAATATCTATGTATCTTCAAGCAACAAATATCCACAGCTTGCCTAAAGGGGAAAACATGAAACCCAGGTTGGTAACTTCACATGTGCCCTTTGCAGAGACAAAAGGAAGTAGTGAATGAAGAACTTGGATAGTTACTAATGGACCAGTCTTAATTCAGATAGTTAATAGTAAACCAAGTCTTGAGGTTAACAAATATGCCTTCTACCACTTAGTGCTTTTGTCAGAGACATAGTGCTGGGCTGCAAGGTTCTTCACACTGATTCAGTGCCATTGAGAAACTCTTGAACTTGTCATGAATCTTTGTCCATTCATAATGCTTAATCCTCTACCATTTAATTTTCCATGGCTGCTTTATCTGCGCTCAAAACACCACTCTGAAAAATTTCCCTTTACTCTTCAACTAGTGCAATCCCAAAGTTGATTCATTTGGTGTCATAGGTATTCAAGAACTCTTAAATATTGAGGGAATAATTGTTGATTAGACTGTATTTATGTCTTTTCACAATTGTCGACTTGCATGTTTTCTCTATTCCAACTTGGCTGTAAATTCCTTAGGATGAAAATTGAACTCTAGATCTTTTGTATCCTTCTCACCTACTGAGAAGTCACACTAGCGAATGAAGACCTGACACCACTGGGAGATGGCACAGAACACACCTCAGCATCTCATCCTGATTTCTGAAAAAACTGCCACTTAATACTGTTTTCCTAGTTTTTCTTGATTACTCAAAGACAAACAATGTCTGTATGTAGACAACAAGCCAACAAGTGTTTCCCATAACAGTAAGAAAGTCTTGGAGTTATGATGTAAATACTCACATAATCCCAGGGAGTTCTCATGTCAAAGGCATATCATTGTCCCCAAGACTTGGAGCTTTATTGAATTGCCTTGGTCGAATCCCATCCATTACCTGATCTACTCAGTTCTGCCCCTCCCCCTTAGTGACTCAAAGCTGTGATGTTGCCAAGACTTGGTTCCTTGATTCAGGCATCATTTTACTAGTGACTTAGACCCTCTACTTCAGCTTGTTGAAGGCCTCTAAGAACACTGAGTCCCAGTGCTGAATCTCCGAGACTCTTCACCATGTCTCCCCAGTTGCAGAGAATTTTCCCACCACTGTGCCTCCTCGGGGTTTTGTCTCTGTTGCAAAGTCTACATGTCCAGTGTGGTGAGTACAAAAGTGACAGGGAAGATGGGTGTGTTTAAGCCAAGGTAGGAGGCAGAATTTTGGATTAAAAATTAGTTAGATATAATCAATTGACAATAATTCAGTACAATTTTGGAAAAGTACAAAGAGGTATTTTATTAAGAAATACACTCAAATAATTTTAGTACTTCTGGTATAGGCTATAATTACTTGGACAGCAAAATATTATAAATCCTTGAGGAGCTGATCTAGCCACAAAAAAACCTTTTAATTTTTATATTAATGTTATATTATTTTAAAAAGAGACTCCTAAATTCTTAAAGAATTAATTCTTTTAAAGGGTTAATTATTTTTTCTATTACATCCATAATCGAGTAAAAAACTTTTGCAGTACAGAAAGTAAAATTCTGTTATTACAAATAATGAGTGAATTTATTAGAGTGAACGTACAAAGTACAATATAAACTAAAGATACTATATAAGTGTAAGGTATTGTATTGAAAATTAGTGAATAATTGTTCCTAACCAATGAGTCCTGAAAGAAATTAGAAGGTCCTGCAGACCTCTCTAGGTTAGTGCTGGTTATAAATGCAGACATGAGTAATTGTTTTCATTTATAAATGGAAATATGCCAACAAAACTAACGTTTCTTTTTTAAAAAATTTTTATTTTTGTAAAATTTTTAAAATTGTTGCCAATATTATAGATGTCCCCCATTACCTCTTCCTTGGACCCTTCCATATAAACACAGCCCTACCCCAGGCCTTTACCACATTATTGTCTGCATCCATGGGCTATATGCACATGTTATAAAATGGACAAAGGGCCTGAATAGACAGTTTATAACATATATGCACATATGTTCTTTGGTTAATCTTTTCTCATACCACCACCTCTCTCCCGTCTGAGATCTGTCAGTCTGTTCCATTAATGCATGCCTCTGGACCTATTTTGTTCATCAGTTTATTTTGTTCATTAGATTGCACATATAAAAGTGAGATTATGTGATATTTGTCTTTCTCTGACTGGATTATTTCACTTAGCATAATAATATCCAGGTCCATCCATGCTATCCCAAAGGGTAAGAGGTCCTTCTTTTTTTTTTTTTCCAGCTGCATAGTATTCTATTGTGTAAATGTACCTCAGCATTTTTATCCACTGATATATTGGTCACTTGGGCTGTTTTCGGATCTTAGATATTATAAATAATGCTGCTATGAACATAAGGGTGCATATGTTCTTTCTAATTTGTGTTTCAGGATTCTTAGGATATATTCCCAGAAGTGAGATTGTTGGGCCAAACTGCAGTTCCATTTTTAATTTTTTGAGGAAACTTCATACTATTTTCCACCATAGCTGCACCAGTCTTCATTCCCACCAGCACTGTGCTAGGGTTCCCTTTTCTCCACCTCCTTGCCAGTATTTGTTGTTTGTTGGTTTATTGAAGGTAGCCATTCTGACAGGTGTGAGGTGATAACTCATTAAGGTTTTAATTTGCATCTCTCTGATGATTAGTGATGTTGAGTATTTTTTCATGAATCTATTGGCCATCTGTATGTCCTCTTTAGAGAAGGTCTATTCAGGCCCTTTGTCCATTTTATAACTGCATCATTTGTCTTCCTTTTTTAAATTTTATGACCCCTCTATATTTTGGAAATTAACCACTTATCCAGTGTATCATTGGCAAATATGTTCTCCCATACAGTGGGTTCCCTTTGCATTTGGAGGATGGTTTCTTTTGCTGTGCAGAAGCTTTTTAGTTTAATGTAGTCCCATGCGTTTATTTTTGTCCTTTGTTTTTCTTGCCCTAGAAGATGTATTGGTAAAAATACTGCTACATGAGATGTCTGAGATTTTACTGCCGATGTATTTTTCTAGGATTTTTATTGTTTTGACACTTACATTTAAGTCTTTAACTCATTTTGAGTTTGTTGTTGTGTATTGTGTAAGTTGGTGGTTCTTTTCTTTTTTCTTTTTTGCATATATCTGTCCAATTTTCCCAACACCATTTATTGAAGAGACTGTCTTTACTCCACTGTATGATCTTGCCTTCTTTGTCAAATATTAATTGACAATAATGGCATGGGTAGATTTCTGGGGTTTCAGTTCTGTTCTATTGATCTATATGCCTGTTCTTACGCCAGTACAAGGCTGGTTTAATTATAATGGCTTTGTAGTATATGGTAGTTTGATACCAGTATTGTGATCCCTCCAACTTTGTTCTTTTTCAAGATTGCTGGGGCTATTCGTGGTCCTTTTTGGTTCCACATAAACTTTTCAAATTTCTGTTCTAGATCTGTGAAATATGCTGTTGGTATTTTAATACAGATTACACTGAATCTATAGATTGCTTTGGGTAGTAGGGACATTTTAGCAATGTTAATTCTTCCAGTCCATGAATCCAGTATATGCTTCCACTTATTTGTATCTTTCTCTTTTTCTTTTTTCAATGTCCTATAGTTTTCCGAGTACAGGTCTTTCACCTTCTTGGTTAAGTTTATTCTTAGGTGTCTTATTTTTGTTGTTGTTGCAATGGTAATTGGGATTTTTTAAAACATTTTGTTTTTCTTAGAGTTCTTTACTGGCGTATAAAAATGCCATTAATTTTTAGATGTTAATTTTGTGTCCTTCTACTTTGCCAAATTTCTTTATTAAATCTTAGGGTTTTCTATGTACAATATTGTGTCATCTGCATATAATGACAGTTTTACTTCCTCCTTTCCATTTTGGATGCCTTTATTTCTTCTTCTTGTCTGGTTGCTGTGTCTAAGACTTCCAGTAGTATGTTGAATAAGAGTGGTGAAGGCAGACATCCCTGTCTTGTTCTCAAACTCAAGGGAAATGCTTTTAGTTTTGAACCATTGAATATAATATTAGCTGTAGGTTTGTCATATATGGCCTTTATTATGTGGAGGTATGATCCCTCTATTCCCACTTTGCTGAGACTTTTTATTAAATGGATGCTGGATTTTGTTGAATGCTTTTTCAGCATTGATTGATATGATCACATGTTTTTTATCCTTATTTTGTTTATATGATATATCACATTTATTGATTTGCAAATATTGTACCAGCCTTGTATCCTGGAATCAATCCCGCTTGGTCATGGTGTATAATATTTTTAATATATTGCTGGATCTGATTTGCTAACATTTTGTTGAGGATTTTAGCATCTGTGTTCATAGGGAATATTGGCCTATAATTTTCTTTCTTTGTAATGTCTTTATCTGGTTTTGGAATTAGGATAAAAGTAACATTTCTTATTTATCTACTCATATAATTTCTTCTTTAAAATAAGAAAGAATTTCTCAGAATATTTTAAAAATATCTACATACATATCCCTTGTACCATCTATCAGAGCAATTAATGTAGAGCATTTTGCATGGATAAAAATCACTGAAAAGAGAAGAGATTTCACCAGTAGCTGTGTCTATTTCACTGGAGACAGTTTCCTAGTCAAGTGATCTTGGGTAATTTTCCTATTTTGATGATACAAGAATTACATGCAAAGCAGAGGTAATCTGGAGTCACCAAATGTCAACTTGTCATCCTTTGCCACAGTTAATTTCTGGAGCCCCAGGATGATACTATGATGTTCAAACTTTATAAAATTTTAAAATGTCACAGAGTGACTTCAGAGTTTTTTTCAAGGGGGCGCTATAAGCTATTTTATTTTTGAATTTTTTATATCATAATGATGGATATTTTAAAAGAAAATTTAAGGTTAGGTAGAAAAAAAGTCATATATCCTCAGTGACTCTCCTCTCTTGTAAATTGCAGTGGCCATGTCTATTATGCATCCAAAGCTCTACCCAACCCCAGCTCTCTCATTATCTTCCCTGGCCTTGACCTTTCAGGCCTCCTTTTTCTTTTTTTAATTTTTTTCTTTATTGATTTTATTTTTAGAGAGAGTGAAATGAAGAGGGAGAAAGAGATAGTAACATTGGTGAGAGAGAATATCGATTGGCTGCCTCCAGCATGCCCCCTACTGGGGATTTGACCCACAACCTGGGCATGTGCCTTGACCAGGAATTAAACCAGTGACCTCTTGGTGCATGATGGGTCAATGCTCAACCAATGAGCCACAATGGCCTGGCCAGGCCTCCTTTTTCTATATGAAGCAGTGAAGGTAGATTATGTCCAACAAGTCACAGAGTCTCTTATGATCCTTTCAGGTTCCTGAGTATTTATCCCCTCCTCTTCCATTCCCACAAAATCCCACCTTACCTCTGGACCATGTTTGGTATAAAATATGCCCAAATCTGTCTTGCTCTAGTTTCCGAGCTTGCCTCTCTTTCATGCTTTAATGACAACTTTTGCTGCCTTCAAGTCTTTGCTCAAATTGCTGCTCCAATACAAAATACTTGCCTATATCTCAACTATCAAAGCCATTTTTATTCAAACTTTAAAATATACTTCCAATTTCTCTAGGAAATGGTATTTTATCTTTTAACTCTCAGTTTTCCCTTTCTCTTCAATATCCGTCTTGTTGGCATTTCTTATCTTTGGACATATTGTTATAAACTGTCTCTGTCTCTCAATAGCCGTTTCACTTGGATAAGACACTTAAGCTATCCAAGAGTCTATTTTCTGGTGTAAAAAGTGGGAAACATAATAATGTGCATCTCTTAGGAATGTTGTGATGACTGGATGAGGTAATATCTGAAATGTATAGATTATATATACATAGTACCTATAGTATACTAGTATGCAAATACTATGTATAGTGTACATAATGTCATAGTATAAATAGATAATGTTATACATTGTGTCTAGATGATAGTAAGATCTAAATAAGCAGATGGATATAATATATAATCTTTTCATACTAACTGCTGTAGGAGCTGAGAAATAAATGATGACTATTTGCTGGGTCACTAAGAGAAGCATTCAGACAGCAAATAGGACTTGAATAGGTAGCAGAGAAAAAGAGTGTCATTTTAGGTAGGGTACAGAAGAAAAACACTGGCATGAGTGTGGAAATGTAGGTGGCATATTTGGTAAGATGGATTAGTTAGTCTATAGAAGAAGGTTCATATAAGAAAGTACTACTAGAAAAGGTTAAAGGATCCATGGGAAAGGCTGGGAGGGGTCCTCTAAATGACAATGGGTTGGTAAATTTTTTTAAACTTTTATTTGTAGAAATATGCAATTCTGAAACTACCATTACTTGGTTTCAGTCCTAATGAAACCAAAAGGAGAAAAATGTTATTTGTCGTTGCTTTTGAAATTTTTTGAAAATTTACATTTTTGTACAGGTTTAACCCAACTTCTCATTTTGGAGACGCCTAATGAAATTATTTAGTTGGAGGGAAATGACTGGGTTGAACTAATTTAGCAAATCAGGGTCAGGGAGCGAGGACTCAAAGAGTCTTGGAACCCTTGTCTGTTTTCCCAGTCTCCCTTCTGTGGTGAGTTCTTCCAAAGATGGAAATAAGATTATTAGCTATAGGAGTCTCCTCAGGGTGATTTTACTAACCATTAGTCTCACTTTTTATTTTCAGAGGTATGTTGCCCAATACCAGAACTGAAAAGTGGAAAAATCACTCAACAGAAAAGAAGCGGCTCTGACAATAGCTGTGTCTATATCAACGGAGACTCAGTTTCATATTCCTGCCGTGAGAGACATCACTCTGAAGCTTCATGCCAAAAAGATGGCACCTGGAGTCCTGAAACACCAAGATGCGATGAGAGTAAGAGCTTATGAAATTATGTTATTTTAGAAGTTTATTCATATCAAAATGATAGAGATTATTAAGGGAAGGTTTCATATTAGGTGAAATAATTTGTATATCATGGTCCTTGGAGTGGATAAATGTATACAGAGGCATTACCTCTAGTTCAAATTTTAATTTTTTTCTCTATTGTTCATTCACATTTTCTTGAATCAGCGAGATTAAGCCACATGCAGATCATCAGTAGATTATCAATTCTGTTTCTTGTTATTTATTCTCTTTTCTTTCCTTTCTTCTGGTCCATATGTCTTCACCTGAGAAACAAGACTTGCCCAAATCTATTTGAGCCTGCTTTTCTGAACTTGCTTCCTTTCTTCCTTCTTTCCTTCTGTACTCAGAGCATCATCACACTACTTACTTTTTGCTGATTGGGTAGAATTAACATAATGCCATTGGTACACTGGACCAATGTGACATTCTGTGGATTTCCAGATGCTCGTGAAACCTTCAGACTCTATTATGAGAGGAGCAGGTGAGTTTTTATAGCCCAGGGGTAAAACTGCCAATTTATGATCTTGACCCTTCCATGTGTATGTGAAATGTTTCTGATCTTCTTTCCTGATAGGATGGGCAAGAAGGCCTTTGCTCAATCAGTGGCCTCATGTACCTGAAGACATATTAATTTGCTCTGAAAAAGATAATCACATGTGATACACAGGAGCTAAAATGTTGACTTTTCAATAGTCTACTGTAATCGTCCAGAATTCTAATTTTTGTAGTAGACAGAATGGGGAAATAAATGAATATATGAGGGGAATGACCACATCTGCATCTTTAGTTCTTTAAGAGTGGCACTAATTCTTCCTTTCCTACTACATATATGTTTATGTATTTCAAAGCAAATTTATTGGAGTGACATTGGTTAATATGATATATATTTTAAATTTACTTTCTTTGCTTCAAGAAGGAGGGGCCTAGGTCAGATCAATGGCTTCTACTTGGCCTTTTGGATATGATTGCTCTTAACCCTTCATCAACAACCAATATGGATATTGGACCAATTACCAATTTTGTTTATTCAGATTATACTTTTGAAGGTAATGGAAATGACCACCATGTGGTCTAGTAGGGTGCCATGATGGTTCTTCAGCCTGAGGCTTACAGGAGGGTAGTGCAGGTACTCGTGTTTGGCTAAGTGGTCCTGTGGGCAGAGAAGATGTCAGGACAGGACAAAGCCTTCTACAAGCCACACAGATTCTAGGATGCGTTGCCTTTTACATTGTATTAGTTTAAGCTCTCTCACTTTATGTCTTACCATCAAGGTTGCAGTTCTCCTCCTTTCATTGCCCACGGACGTCACCAACAAACTTCATACATTTTCCAAACTAAGGAGATTAAATATGAATGTGACGAAGGATATGCTCTGGTTGGAAAGCCCACACTGACCTGCAGTTCTTCACGCTGGTCAGGTCCAGCCCCTCAATGTAAAGGTAACTCCAGCCCATGGCTAAGAGGGTGGAACTGTCATGAAGGGATTGAGAACAAAGTTTCTTTTCAGATAGACAGAGTACAAAAACATTTAATTTATTTATTTTAAATAATTACTACATTCAAATAGTACTGAGCCCTGGCTGGTTTGACTCAGAGGTGGGAGCGTCAGCCTGCCAAGCAGTGAGTCTCGAGTTTGGTTCTGGTCAAGGTCACGTACCTCAGTTGCAGTTTGTCCGCAGCCCTGGTCGGGGTCATGTGGGGTACAACCAATCGGTGTGTCTCTCTCATATTGATGTTTTCTCTTTCTCCTTCTCTCTCCCTCCCTCCCTCCCAGATAAATGGAGATATTAAAGGAAAAGTATCCTCAGTGAGGATTAAAAAAAAAAAAGTACCCAACGCAAGAAAGTACAAGAGACATACAGAAAAAATTAATCTCCCCTTCTTTCTTCCAGTTACAAAATTTAGCCTTCTCCGACTTTCTTGTATATTTCTGGAAATAGTCTACAGGTGGTACATCTTCTCTGAGTGTAACTGTGGCCTGTAGCAAAATTTTCATGGAACTTGCTCTGGTATGAATGTAGGCTCTCAGGGGTAAATTGCAAACACCAGGAAGTGACAGGTGTTTGCAGCAGAGCCCCATGCCCTGCAGGGCACCCTGCCAACGATGGAGGCCTGTGGTGTGGGATTCCCAGTTTGCAACCTGTTGTGTAGACAGGAGGAGTTAAGATCAGGTCTGTATTTTACATGCACACAGGTTTAATATCACTTTGCCATCATCAACAACTCCAGGAATTATTTGCCACCATTGTCTCCATTGCACACAATAGGATAACAGACAAGAGAAAAAATATTATCCTTAGTGTCTTGTAGGGATCACAATATGAGGGATTGTTGCTTTGACAGCTGAGAGTCTGGGGTCATGTGCCTTTTTTTTTATGCATGATCATGGTATTTAACATCTTGTTATGTGTTGAACTAGTTTTTTAACTTTTCTGTACCTCATATTCTCCTAGACAAATGGGAATAATAACAGTGCTCACTTCATAGAGAGGAGTGAGACTGACATGAGGTAATCACATAAAATGCTTGGCTCTGAAGACTGTGTGAGCCGATGCTCACAGAACATGTGAGCTAATATGACTGCTATCAACATTGAAAAAGATACAACAATTATGTTGCTCATTTGAATAATTCCAGCCAGAAATCTAATTCCTTAGATTTCCAAATGCGTAACTGTGCTTTTGTTGTAGCTCTGTGTCCGAAACCAGAGGTTGAACATGGAAAGCTGTCTGGGGATCAGAATCAGTTTGTTGAATCTGAAAATGTCACCATCCAGTGTGACTCTGGCTATGGTGTGGTCGGTCCCCAAACTATCACCTGCTTGGAGAACAGGACCTGGTACCCAAAGGTGCCCAAGTGTGAGTGGGTAAGTGGAACAATTCAAGAAATTTCTGTGTTATTAAACCCTAAAAATGGTGCCACCCCAAAGCACTGTCCCAGCCAGCAAAGGCGAGATCTGACTGGCCAGGATTCATTTCTGAGTCATTCACAAGAATGCTCTTGTTTTTTCTTGAAGTAGTCTGGTCCATTAGGGTGGCAAGTTTTCATACTTTCAATTGAGAACAGGACAAACCAAGCCCCTTAAGGACAGGAGGTTCTCAGAAAGCTGGGCATACTGACTTCCTAGTTTTCTATTCTAGACTATATAACACACTGTATTCCATTTCTGGGTGGTTAGCCAAAGGAGCCTCTGTCCCCACAGAGGCCTTCTGGGAAGCTGTCTCAGAACAGATCTATATCCTTTGGGAAGACTATGGTGGTGGACGAGGTGTTTCCTGGTTTTCCTGCTCACCCATCAGTCCTGGAGCTGGTCTTGGACCTGCTCCTGTAGTCCTGCATTGTCATGACCTGGAGAGAAGCCTCTCAACCACACCCACTACCTATGTCTCTTTCAGGCGCTCCCTGAAGGCTGTGAGCAAGTTCTACCAGGCAGAAAATTCTTGCACTGTCTCCCAAGAGTGGAGGATGTGAAGATGGCTCTGGAGTTACATAAATTGTCTTTGGAAATTGAGCTCCTCGAACTACAGAGAGACAAGGCAAAGAAATCCTCTCCGGAGTCACCGCTGTGATTTTCCCCAGGAAAAGGTACCTTGGTACCTTCCATTTAATGTGGGTCACTTTAGTTTATCAATCTACTGTCCTTTTGGTCCCCACATTCATCTTAATAAATATGCACATATACAAACTATTTGTGTTCACAGTCATTTCATATCTCATCAAGTGATGGTCTTAGACTAATTCATCTTGTAGTTAATACTTTTATTTTCCTGTATAGATCTTGAAGATATGTATTGCATCCACACAGATGTGTTGTCTTTGAATGCTTTTTTCTTGAGTTCAACATGTCCTGGTTATTCATGTCCTTTAAAACTTACACTAAATGTCTTCACACCTGAAAGCCTTGTGTGTTTTCCCTCATTTGAAGGAAGTTTTGCCCTTTTTAAAGTTCCCATGCGCCCGGCCATTTTGGCTCACTTTGTTGAGCATGGATTCATGCACCAAGGGATCACTGGTTCAATTCCCAGTCAGGGCACATGCCCAGGTTGTGGGCCTGATCCCCAATAGGGGGCATGCAGGAGGTAGCCGGTTGATGTTCTCTCTCATTGATGTTTCTATCTCTCTCTTCCTCTCCCTTTCTCTGTCTCTAACATCAATCAATCAATCAATCAATCAATCAATCAATAAAGTCCCTATGCACTTGGTGTTTCTTCTCACTAAGGCTACCTCTGCACTGCCTTACACAGTGTGTCTAGCCCACTTATGTCATCCTCGGAGAGCAACTGATGAATATGAAGCGTGCATGGCAACCACCTGTGTATTTCCAAGTCCCCCAACTGATTTGGTCCTCATTTTCCTTAATAGAAAATAAAAAAAGCCTTGAACAACTATCTACACCCAAGGAGAAACTCTATATCAGTTTTGTTTTGTTTTTTTTTTGTATCTTGAGGTATTTCAGAGGCTTTATTCACTTCCTCTCACTGCTTCCTCCAACGTTGTGACCTCTGAAATATCTTCCTTACTCATGTTTCAGCTCTATTAGCTTTCTGAGCTTTCCGTAGTACACAGGATCTCATGGTGAACATCAGCTTCTTTTGTTTAATTTCCCCACACTACTCTGAAGAGACAATGGAGTGTAGCAAGCTTTCGGTGAATCACAGACATCACAGAGCAGCTTGAACTGTTAGAAAAACCCACCTACCTTGGGCTGTATCTATCCATAATCTTAAAAGTCATTACCTGCTCCTGCTACTAGAAATTTTTTAAAAAGCTCTATTGTTGAAAGTGTTACAGATGTCCACCCTCTTTTCCCCGCAGTGTCCCTATCCTCCCCTCTCCCACACCCTTCCTGCCTTCAAGTGATCCCACTTCTCGGAATATATTCTAAGAAGCCTCAAACACCAATCAGAAAGAATATATGCACCTCTATGTTCATAGCAGCGCTATTTACAATAGTGAAGATCTGGAAACAGCCTAGTGCCCATCAGTAGATTAGTGCATAAAAAAGCTGTGGTATGCCCAGCCAGTGTGGCTTAGTGGTTGAGCGTTGACCCATACACCAAGAGGTTACTGGTTTGATTCCTGGTCAGGGCACAATCCCCAGTGAGGGGCGTGCAGGAGGCAGCCAATCAATGTTCTCTCTCATTGATGTTTCTACCTCCCTCTCTCCCTTCCTCTGTCTCTAAAATCAATGAAAAAAAATTTTTTTTATTAAACAAGAAGCTGTGGTAAGCCCTGGCTGGTTTTGCTCAGTGGTTAGAGTATCGGCCTGCAGACCAGTGAGTCCCAAGTTTGATTCCGGTCAAGAGCAAGTACCTCTGTTGCGGTTCATCCCCAGCCCTGGTCGGGTTATGTGGGAGGCAACCAGTCAATGTGTCTCTCTCATGTCCATATTCCCCCCCACCCCCGCTCTCTCCTCCTCCCTCCCACTCTATCTGATAATAAATGGAAAAATATCCTTGGGTGAGGATTAAAAAAAAAAAAGCTGTGGTACATTTACACAATGGAATACTATGCAGCTGTAAGAAAGAAAGAGCTCTTATTCTTTGAGATGACATGGAGGGACCTGGAAAGTATTATGCTAAATGAAATCAGCCTATCAGAGAAAGACAAGTACCACATGATCTCACTTATTTATGGAATACTAGGAATTCCTTTTGCTTCATGTTTCTTATGAGTTTTCCTTAAGGCAAGGATTTGTGGGTACCTATTTTCCATGATAGGTGATCCCCAGAAAGCACTTTGGGAGTAGGTAGTAAGCAGAAGAAGAGAGGACAACCTAAAGAGGGAGCATCACTGAGGGGATTATTATTATTGTTGTTGCTGACAGGGGCTCAGTTATGCTGATTGCCCTCCAAAGGTGTGTGGAACACAACTGTGATTTGTCCTCCTGAGAATGAAGACCTTGGGTATTTATTCACTAATTCCCTCTGACACTGGCGGCTTGCTCACAGGACCTCTGACCCACATTTCAGGCCAGCTAGGCTTGCTCCTGATCAAGGGGACACTGCTCACCAATGGCATCTATAGGACTGTTCGAAGTAACCTCCAGGGTAGGGCTATAAGCAAACAAAGCAGAGAGTGGGGTGGGAAGTGAGGTTAGAGTGTGCTAAAGTGGTAGGGCCCTAGTGATCTTGACAGGAATTTGATTTTGTCTGCCACACACTTTGACATGCAGTGGAGTTTCTCATATCTGTATACTTGCTTTCCTGCTCTGTCTGCCTTTGGATTTTGAATTCATGTTCTCCTCTTTCTTGATTTATTGCCTCATTTCACTGGAGCATATCCTCAAGGAGACGCTTACGAAATGACATATCGGAAGTAAAATATCAAGCTCCTGCATCTTTGAAACTATATCTAAATACTTGATCGATAATTTGGTTGGAAGTAGAAAACTGGGTCAAAAATTATAATCTTTTAGAATTTTTAAAGGATATTTTCTTGCATGAAAGACACCAATATTGCAGTTGAGAGATTGGTAGCCATTCTTATTATTGATAGTATAGGATTTTTTTTCTTTATCTGTATTTTTTTTTTTTTTTTTTCACAAGAAAACACCTATTCTTTTTTCAGAGAAATTTTCTTGGTATAGTTTGTTCAGTAATATTTAATTTTCTTTTTATGAATATCCTACTGGTCAGATATTAGACTTCTTTATCAATTCTATAATTTTCTTATATTTTCTCTCAGTTTTTTATATTATCTCTATTTCATCCCTCTACTCCATTATTTGAAGATATTTCCTTGACTTTGTATTTCAATTATTTTATTAATTTTTTGAAAATTCATTTTAAAGCAGTGTTCTATTCTTTTAAAAAAAATTTTATTTATTAATTTGTTTTTGTTACAGATGTTTCTCATTTTCCCCTCATTGACACCCTCCTCCCCTTCCCCCCCGACCCCATCCTCAGCTTTGTTGTCTATATTCATTGGTCATGCATACATGCATGTATGTTCTGTGGTCAATATCTTCCCCTACAAACATCCCCCTCCTCTGAGGCTTGTCAGCCTGTACCCCACCTCCATGTCTCTGGGTTAATTTTGTTCAGCAGTTTGTTTAGTGCATTATATTTCTAGTTGGTGTTCTAGCTTCATTCTTTTGCAGTAGCTGTCCAGTTTCCCCAACACCCTTTATTGAAGAGACTGTCTTGACACCACTGTACGCTCTTGCCACCTTTGTAGAATATTAATTGAGCATATTACCTTGGGTCAATTTCTGGGTTCTCTATTCTGTTCCATTGACCTATCTGCCTGTTCCTGGGCCAGTACCAAGCTTATTTTTATGACAGTGGCTGTGTGGTATAACCTGAAATCTGGTCATGTGATCCCTCCTGCTTTGTTCTTCTTTTTCAAGATTTCTGTGGCTATTTGGGGTCTTTTTTGGTTCCATATAAACTTTTGGAGTGTTTGTTTTAGTTCTGTGAAGTATGTCATTAGTATTTTGATGGGGATTGCATTGAATCTATAGATTGCTTTGGGTAATATGGACATCTTAATGATGTTAATTCTTCCAATTCATGAACAAGGTATATGCTTACACTTTTTTACATTTTCCTCTATTTCTTTTTTCAATGACCTGTAGTTTTCTGTAAAGAGGGCCTTTACTTCTTTCGTTAAGTTTATTCCTAGGTATCTTAATTTTTTTGCTGTGATGGTAAATGGGATTGTCTTTTTAGTTTTTCTTTCTGTGATTTCATCATTGGTGTATAAGAATGCTGTCAATTTCTTTTTTTTTTCTTAATTTATTTATTTTTGTTACAGATGTTTCTCCTTTTCCCCTCACTGATTCCCTCCTCCCCCTCCCTTTCCGCCCTCTTCCCAGCTTTGTTGTCCCTGTCCATTGTTCATGCATACATGCATATAAGTTCTGTGGTTTATCTCTCCCCCCCCCACTCCCTCTTCTGGGGATAGTAAGTCTGTACCCCACTTCCACATCTCTTGAACTACCCCATTAGTCAGACTGCTATGTTCATTATATTCCACAAATAAGTGAGATCATATGATACTTGTCTTTCTCTGTTTGGCTTGTTTTGCTTAGGATGCTGTCAATTTCTTGATGTTAATTTTGTATCCTGCTACTTTGCCAAATTCACTTATTAAGTCTAGTAGATTTTTGATGGAGTCTTTAGGGTTTTCTGTGTACAATATCATGTCATCTGCAAATAATGACAGTTTCACTTTCTCCTTTCCAATTTGGATCCCTTTTATTTTTTCTTCCTGTCTAATTGCTGTGGCTAAGACTTCCAGTACTATGTTAAATAAGAGTGGTGAAGGTGGGCATCCCTGTCTTGTTCCCATTCTTAAGGGGAATGCTTTTAGTTTCTGCCCATTGAGTATGATGCTGGCTGTAGGTTTTTTATATATGGCCTTTATTATGTTGAGATATGATTCCTCTGTCCCCACATTGCTGAGCGTTTTTATCAAAAATGGGTGTTGGATTTTGTCAAATGCTTTTTCGGCATCTATTCATATGATTTATGGTTGTTATCTTTCATTTTGTTTATGTGGTATATCACATTTATTGATTTGCGAATATTGTACCATCCTTGCATGCCTGGGATAACACCCACTT